TTTTATTTTCACAAGTATGTTTCGCTTCTTTTTATTATTTTGTAATATTGTTAAGTGAAGTAATTTTTTTATTGTATTAATCTCTGTACTGTATTTCTTCTCTATGTATATCTAGATCACTTGATAAGGACTCAAGGAAGGGTCGAAACGTTGTGATTTAATAAATAATATTTGCCAGTACGGTCGAGAGAAGAGTTTTACTTTTATAATTTAACGTTGTGGCGTAAATATTTCATACTATATTCATACAAATGTACTGGTGAAGATTTTATCAAAATCGGTCGTGTAGTTTTTACGTTAAATTATTAAATTATTAGATAATGTGCGCGAATACGAATTTTTTTTTAGCATACAGCTAAGATTTATTTCAAAAATGTATCTCAACCCAAAATTACTAAATTCACTTATTTCTCTCTGACTCTCCTGTAGAAGAAAAGGCGAGAAAAATCCGAAAGTTGTTGAATCAAAAATTGAATCCGAGTCTTTCGAATTTAAATTTGAATTGTTATTTGCTTATCTTCATAAATCTGCAACTACATACCGAGCGCGCGAAGCGTGAGAGAAACAAGCGCCAGCTAGTAGGGGTAAACAGTACAGTTATTAGCCACTCTACAATGATTGGCTACATTTAAAAAATTAAAGATTATAAGGAAATACTATTAAAATATTTTCAATTATAAATAAAAAATGTTTAATACATTTTTCTGCTTCAAATACAATTAATATTTAATTATTTTCTATGTATTGCAATTTATATAAATAATGAATAAAATGACTTTGGTAACATACTTTGAAAACTGTTGCCATTCAATCAAAAAACCGTAAGAGTGGAGCCAACGATTTGCAAATTTTTTAATGTTTTTATGACATATAATTTTTGTTTTCGTGATATACATGCATTAATAAAGTTTAAATTGTGTAAAAAAAATTCGTATCGGTAAAAATACATATATTTTAAAAATTATAACTATGCCAACGACTAACACTCGATTGACGTTTTACAACAGTAATTGGCCACTCGGCCAATGATTGTTTTGTGGTTATGGAAACTGTGTGACAGTTATTGGCCCCTTATATCGAGTGACAGATAAGACAGTAAGTTTATTTGTTATATTACTAAAAAGATATATTTTTCAGCTGTAAATAAAATATTCAATATTCTATCATAATAAATAGAAAGAAATAATTTATTAAAAATATATAAATTTATGTAAAAATAATAATTGATAAAATTTTTTATTAAAAAAATTTTTAATTTTTAGGTTATATTTTAAAATTAATCTATCAAAAAAAACACCAAAAGTTAAAAAAATTAACAAAAATATTTTGAAAATCAAATTGAAGATTAGTACTATTCATGCAGTCGTAAAAATGGATTGTTAAAACATCTTTAAAACAATAATTTGATATTACTAGAAAATATACTACTTTTCAGTCAGCTGTAAGTAAAATATTCAATACTATAGGGTATTAGTATTATATCATTATAAAATAGAAACAAATAATTTATTATAAATAAATCAGTTTATAATACAAATTATAATAATTGATAAAATTCTTAATTTACAAATTTTTAATTTTTAGAATTAATTTCTAAATTGAACAAAATGCCAAAAGTTAAGAAAGATAACAAGTACCAAAAAAAATATTGTGAAAAACAAATTGAAGATGCTATTCATGCAATAGAAAATGGAATGTCAAAACATGCAGCTTTAAAACAATATGGTGTCCCAAGATCGACTATCCAGTTCAGAATGAGTAATGCATTTGTAAAAACAACTCCAGGTCCAGCTCCTGTATTAGGTCGTAGTGGAGAAGACGATTTAGTAAATTGGATTATTGATTGCCAACGGAAAGGATTCCCTATGAGAAAAATTAACGTACAAACTAGTGTCAAAGAATTTTTGGATCAAACAAAGAAAAAAAATCCTTTTCGTAATAACATGCCAGGGAATGGATGGTATAAAAGTTTGTTAAAAAGAAACCCAATTCTTACTGAAAGACATCCAGAAGGAGTTACTAATGCTAGTTCTTGTGTTAGTAAAAATGATATTAAAAATTGGTTTAAAGAGATATATAATTATTTGGCAGAACATAACTACTTACATATTTTGGAAGATCCAACACGTATATTTAATAGTGATGAAACGTACTTTATGGTATGTCCAAAGATGAAAAATGTGATAGCTCCTCGTGGAGCACGAAATGTTTATGAAATTGATAGAGGAAACTCTAAGTTAAATTTGACTGTATTATTTACATTTAGTGCAAGTGGAGTAACAACTCCACCGACTGTTGTGTTTCCTTACAAAAGATTACCTGCCTCTGTTGGACGATCAGTACCTGATGATTGGGGAATCGGTGTAACACCAAGTGGTTGGATGAATGCAGAATTATTTTATGAATATTTAGAAAATGTATTTTATCCTTATCTCAAAAAAGAAAAGATTGTGTTTCCTGTTATTTTATTTGTCGATGGGCATAGTAGTCATGTCACTTTAGAAGTAAGCAAACTTTGTTCAGAATTAGAGATAATTCTTATTTGTTTATATCCAAATTCAACAAGAATGTTACAACCTGCTGATGTCTCAGCATTTAGACCTTTAAAGAATATGTGGAAAAAAAGTGTTTTAGAATGGAGGCAACAAAATCCAACACTATCGTTATCATTAGATAGAATGGCTCCACTTTTGAAAAATGCTGTTGATAAATTTTCACCTGATGGTAATACCATAAGAAATGGTTTCAAAGCATGTGGCTTATATCCTTGGAATCCAGATGCAGTAGATTACTCAAAATGTCTTGGTGTTAAGACCAAAAATATTATCACTATTGATCGTCCATCTAATGCAGCCACAATTTCATTTGAAACGTATGCCAAAGTAGTGGGAGATGACTTATTGAAAGAATTACAATTATTTCCTTCTCAGCAAGTCACAGCAGAAAGCAAGTCAACAGAGTTTTTAATTCTCCATCAATTGTTTGAAGAATATACAAAAGTATCAAATTCAACAAATAATTATGATGCACAATTAGCTACAGATATTGTAGGTAATTTAGAGTCAAATGTAGGTGATTTTGAGTTAAATGTAGGTGATTTTGAGTTAAATGTAGTTGATTTAGAGTCAAATGTAGGTGATTTTGAGTTAAATGTAGTTATTTAGAGTCAAATGTAGGTGATTTTGAGTTAAATGTAGTTGATTTAGAGTCAAATGTAGGTGATTTTGAGTTAAATGTAGTTGATTTAGAGTCAAATGTAGGTGATTTAGAGTCAAATATTGATAAAATTGATAAAACTGAGAGTGATATTAAAAATAATTTAAAGTTAGATAGTATTATTGCGATAAATGATGAGACTGATACTAATAATATTATAGAAAATTTAAAGTTAAATAATATATTGACTATTAATGAGGATGAAAGTAAAATTACAGATAATTTAGAAATAAATAGTATTGCAATTGATGAAACTGGATGTGATATTATACTATGTGATTTAGAGTTAAATAATAAGATTACAACTAATAAAATTGAAGGTGATATTATAAATGACTCAGAATCAAATAATATTGCAATAATTGATAAAATTGAAAGTAATGTTACGAATGATTTAGGAGTAAATAATATTATTGTAGCAAATGGTAAGCCTAAATTCAATGTTAATAATTTAGAAATAAATAATATTGTTGAATATAATAAAACTTCATATAATAATAATATAAATAATTTAGAATTGAATCTAGCAGCCGATAAGACTGAAGATAATAAAGTACTTGATTTGTCTCTGAGTCATCGTAAAGATTGTTCTAAAAAACTGAAAGATTTTTTACCACGACCAGTAACACCTACGCGCAAAGGAAAAAAGTTTACCGAACGAACATCATATGCGATTTCATCCTTTAAATGGCAATTAAATGAAGAGAAAAAATTAGAACAAATAAAAATGGAACAGAAACGAAAGGATGATAAAAAACAACAAATGTTAGAAAAGAAAAAAATAGCTGAAAAGTTAAAAGAACAAAAAAAATTAGCAAGACTACAAAAACAACAGGAGAAAAAAACGATGTTACAGAAAGTTAAAAAAGAGAAAGTTGACAATAAAGAAAATATTGATGAAAAACCAAAAAAAAACGAGGAAAAAGGATCAGGCAATTTTAAAACCAAAAATTTTGAAAAATGAAATATTTTCAAAGAAAGTTCGTTTAGTTTAAAATAATATTATACTTGTTAAACAAAATTTGTTTCTCTTGTTTATATTTTAATTAATATGTTCATCTTATGTTAAATATATGTAATAAAATATATATTGATTTAATAATTTTGGTTTTTTGATGCTAAATAATTTTTTGTCACTCTTTAATTATATATATATATATATATTTACTCATTCTAGCATGGATAGAGGCCAATCACTATCGCACTGTTGTACAATAACTGTGTTAATATAGCCAATGATTATCTTTTTTGACAAGAGAGTTTTTTTACATAATTTTTATTAATTCCTAAATTTTTATGATGGATTTTATTTTATTATGGATTATTATTATTTTTCACAGAGATTAGTACTAGTGGTTTTTTTCTCTAAATTATTGAATTCAGGTTCATAATTCGATTTTTGTTTTGCGATCTTGCTTAAGTGGCCAATCACTATATTGTTTACCCCTATTAAATAAAAAAGTACTAAGATATAACATATCAAAAGTCAACAATGACAAAAATATAATAAATAACTGATGAGTAATATATACAGATATTTTTTAAATATTTTATAATAAAAAGAAAAAATATTTTACTGTTTATATTAGCATATTTTAATAGATTAAATATAATTAGAATAATAATCAAAATTTACAGAAGAATTAAAATTAAAATTAAAAATAAAAATTATTTTAATCAATAATATATTTTAAGGACATGCTTCTAAAAAATCCAACGAAATTTTGAAGTTTGATTATTTTTTAAATGTTTTAACTATTATACATCTGTTGATATCTATAAATTGTCGTTCACATATAATCACAAATATTCAATGTTTTTTTGTTATCAACATTGATATTCTACTTATAATGTTAAAATACAAACCTGGACAAGGCCCAATATGTTTGATAAGAATAGACACGCCTTGACATTGCTTAGAAATAATCTGACACTGATTAGAATATGTAATTCCGTCACTTCCGCATACAGGTGTGCTTCCACCACCGTTCATCGTGCATTCAGCTATCCTTTTTCTACATTCTTCCTATAATAAAAAAGTTTAATTGTATTATAACTGCTACTTGCTGATAAATTCCTATACATATATATTTCCCAGATAGCACAGAATATTTATAAAATATTTATAGAATATTTATAATAATTATTTTAATATTTTATAAATATTTTATAAATGTTTTTGGAGTCTTAGATTCAATAGATCATCAATATTTATCATAAATATCAGAAAATATTTACCATAAATGTTGTGGTAAATATAAATATATTTATTAAATTATGATACAGATTTTTTAAAATTTATATTTTCTTTAATAAATACTCAGTAAGAAATCATGAGTTAAAAGACATAATCAACAATTTTTTATTCAAAACAATCAGTTGATATAGTCTAACCTAAAATTTGGTCGATTAGATATTTTTGTGTTTTCCAAACTCTATTAGCCATTTATAAAAAGTTAAAAATATTTATAAGTAACTTATTAGACATTTATTTTAAAATAAAATGTAAAATTATAATATACACTGAATATACTTAGGCAACAGAATAGTTTAACAAATAAATTTACGCACACATTGATATATACGTATATTTACTCGTATTTGTTAAAAGACATTCTGTTGCAGAATGCAGCTCAAAAATAGAAATAATTTTATGACACTTTCAATTTTATTAATTTCTGTTTTTGCCAGCCTTATACATATAATTCTCACGACGCAAATCTAATACGAAAACGATATGTCACATAGCGGTAAATGAAAGAACTAACAATTTAGTTAAAAAATATTTTCAAAATAATTACTATAAATATTTATCTTTACATATCATAAATATTATATGAAATATTTAATCTATGTTTTAATAATATGTTAAATAAAAGTTTTTATAAAACATTTTAAAAATATTCATATAATATTTGAAAAAATTCATATTCATAAATATTTATGAATCTTTATCATAAATATTGTGTGCTGTCTGGGTTATAATGACAAATTAAATAAGTACACAAAATTAATTGATAACATATCAATAGACATATAAAGGATATATTTTTTTGCTTCACATATAGTTATTAAAAGAAATAAACTATTTACAAATTAGGAAAACACACGCATACTTATTGTTATTCTGATACAAATATCTAAAAAACTTAAGAAACATGGTTACATATTTCTTGTCAAGTCATGCACAACAAACAGTCAATCTAATTTTATTTGTATGATAATATAAAATAGAGATCGAAATGTACACAATATATAACATTTGACAAAAAAGAATAATATTCGTACCACGCTTGGCTTTTAATTAACCCGGTAATTAATTAATTACTCTTTATGGAGAATAGATAAAATACAATAAAGCAAAATGTGATCAGGCACAATCAAGTTTTCAGAAGCTCACTAAGCAGCAAAAGAAAAAGATGTAAAATAAAACACATATAATATAAACAGAAAAACTAGAAACAAAATACAATATATGACTCCGGTCAGAATTATCATACACTTATTTCTCTCTAATTATATCTTGTATAAATTGATGATGAGAATATCGATTGCTTTCAATATGCGTTATTAAGAATTTAACAAGGCTCTGTAATATAAATATAAATATAAATTGAGAGTGTTAAACAGGCAATAAGAGCCATATCGCGGATGACAGTGCGTTATCCCAACGAAACTAAATTTTTTCGTTAGGATTAAAACCTGTGCACAAGGCACTAAATTTTTACTTGGACACGGCCAAGATTTAAAATTGGAATAATCCCTACAAGAGATTTAATTCTATACATCCCCTGTTCCCCCCTTAAGGAAATAAATGCGAGAGAAAAATATAGATCCGAAAGTCGCTGAATCGGGAATCGAACCCGAGACCTTTCGCTTGCCGGGCGACTGCTCTTCCAACTGAGTCATCCGCGATATGGCTCTTATTGCCTGTTTAACACTCTCAATTTATATTTATATTTATATTACAGAGCCTTGTTAAATTCTTAATTTGTACACGCTGGCTTAAAGGCGTTTGTTTATCAACATTATTATATATATATAATAGAGAAAAGTATAGAATCGAAGGAATCTGAATAGCTCAGTTGGGAAGAAGAGCAGTCGCCCGGCAAGCGAAAGGTCTCGGGTTCGATTCCCGATTCAGCGACTTTCGGATCTATATTTTTCTCTCGCATTTATTTCCTTAAGGGGGGAACAGGGGATGTATGGAATTAAATCTCTTGTAGAGATTATTCCAATTTTAAATCTTGGCTGTGTCCAAGTAAAAATTTAGTGCTTTGTGCACAGGTTTTAATCCTAACGAAAAAATTTAGTTTCGTTGGGATAACGCACTGTCATCCGCGATATGGCTCTTATTGCCTGTTTAACACTCTCAATTTATATTTATATTTCAATATGCGTATTGCACCTACATGATCTCAAAAGAGTAATGAGATTAAATATGTAGCGCTAATATAGCAACAATAAAAAATTATAACGCGGAATGTAAAATATAATCTTTTTAAAAGCAGCACAAGTTTTGATTCGTTCGGCTGCGTTCATGTGTTATTATAATATTTTTTGTAAATATTTAGCGTCTGTGTTATAAGTAAACTCTGTCATTGTTTTCATAATTGTTATCGAATGACAAAATATTTTTGAATATTGAATAAAAATATGAGATAAAAGTTAGAAAAAGCATTTGATAATCATATTTTATCACATCCCGTACGAAAAAACCTATACAAAAATTTCGAAAAAATTACTGGCATAATAATAGTTCTTCAATAGTATATTAGCTAACAAGTGCGGGGGATTGTAAATCGGCCGAGAGTGCGTAAGATTGGCGCACGAGGCGAAGCCGAGTGTGACATTCGCACGATCGGCCAATTTATGACCCGCACATGTTGGTTACGATATTTTGTGTGACCGGTGCGTGGAAAGGAAGCACTTTCTAAAATCCCATCATGTGCGGAAAGGGCGACTTTTCGCGCACCGGTTGCACAATAATATATTATTATTATACCAGTAATTTTATCGTATTCTTGTAGTTTTTTTCGTAGAAGGCTCTTTAATGTTTCTAAATAATTTGACATATGTCAACTTGTGACAACATTTTATCCATACTGAAGTAACATAATTACCATAAACATATTTAGGTTCTGTTCATATTCCTTGTTTTAATCGCGACTCACTGAAAATTGAAGATCCATTCCGAAAAACATAACGTCTAAAATGGGGATGTAAGACGTCTTAAAGGCACTATTAAGATGTTTTTAGACATCACATTAAACAAATGTTTTTAAGACGTCTTTAAGATACCTTTGTGCAACCGGCGCGCGAAAAGTCGCCCTTTCCATACATGATGGGATTTTAGAAAGGGCTCTCTTTCCACGCACCGGTCACACAAAATATCATAGCCAACATGTGCGGGTCATAAATCGGCCGATTGTGCGGATTGTCACACTCGGCTTCGCTTCGTGCGCCAAACTTCCACACTCTCAGCCGATTTACGATCCCCCGCATTTGTTAGCTAATATACTATTAAGACCTCTTATGTCCCATTTTTAACGTGATGTTATTTGGGACACTAAAGGAACATTTGTTTCTTTGCGACTTGTTGACGCATCTTTATAATTTTTCTTTTATCTTTATCGCTTCAAATGGAAACACACAAAACATGTAGCAACTTTTGTTGCGTAACAGAAACAGTAAGAAACGTTAAGAAATTTTCGGCAACAATTAGAAACTTTTTAAAGAAACATAGACTAACAAAAAGTTGCTCGTTGTTGTTCCAGTGAAGACGCAGCTTTACTGTTTCTATTGCCAGCAATAAAAGTTGCCGCTTATTACGTGTGTTTCTATTCGAGGCGGTAAGGATGAAAGAAAAATTAGCAACACGCATCTACAAGTCGCAAAAAAAAAAAATGTTTTTTCAGTATAGATCTTCAATTTTTAGTGACACAGACGCAGTTAAAACGGGACTAGGAACAAAAACCAAATGTTTCTGTAGTTATGTTGCTTCAGTGTGGACAAAATGTTGTTACAAGTTGACATATATCGAATTATTTGAAAACATTTAGCAATAATAAGCAACAAAAAGTTGCTCCAGTGAAGACGCATTTTTACGAAATATGTTGCATATAAATGTAACCGAACGAATCGAAATCTTGAACTATTTTTAAAGTCAGGATTATACACATTTACATTCCACGTGATTACGATTTTTCAATATTCCTTTACTAAAAAGCATACAATGTGTCTATTTAATACGTAGATTCTAATTCTTTGGGTATACAAATATCGAAAAATTCATTCAATATCTACGGGCACAATAGTTGCTTGCGTCACCGATATTTCGTCAGTGCTTGCGACAAATTACTCGATTATATAAACATATAATTAGAAATATAAATAATTTTTCTAATTTTTATATGGACTTATGAAAAAAAATTAACATAAAGTTGCAAAAACGTTATTTAGTAAGATATATTGTGTATACATTGCACATACACTTATGTACACAAATATATACATACACATAAGAATGCAAAATCGTACCTAATCATATAGTTTCCATATGGTATAAAACCTCGATTAATGTTAATGCCGGTGGCACATTAGGAAAAATTCTACTGAAAAAAGCCGAAAATGTAATAATTAGTTAAACTAATATGATAAAGAAAAAAGTTACAGTACTTAATTTCTAAAATAAATATTTTAGGAAAGAAATTTTAAGTCACTTAAAGCAATAGAATAAAAAATTTCTTATTCGGTGTAATTTCAAAACCTAAAGTTTTTCTCACAATCAGTTGACCTAAAAGTTGTGCCATCTACGTAAGAATCATTGTCCAAACAAATTTAATAGCATTTGAAAGCTGAGACTTTAAGCTTTAAAATGCTAAAAAATTTCTATAGGAATCGCATATTCCGTAATCATTTTTCGCAAAGTTATATAGAAGAAAGAGGAGCAAGATGTTATCCCACAATGTAGGTAAAAAGAATTACTAATTTTTTTAACATAATATATATATAAAGCCACAATCTCCACTTGATTCCTCTCGACCAATAGAGCCAAACGCGATGTTATTGCGACAATTATGAAGGAAAGAACATTTTGGAAAGGAATTTGAATCCTATGGTTGGGATCTCAAAAATTCCCCCTGTTCCTTCTCTTAACATCCCCTGTAAAGAAATATTCAGCCGACTTTCGGACCAATATTTTTCTCGCCTATTTCTTTACAGGGGATGTTAAGAGAAGGAACAGGGGGAATTTTTGAGATCCCAACCATAGGATTCAAATTCCTTTCCAAAATGTTCTTTCCTTCATAATTGTCGCAATAACATCGCGTTTGGCTCTATTGGTCGAGAGGAATCAAGTGGAGATTGTGGCTTTAAAAATTAAAAGAGCTGACTAAATAAGTATTCGCATTATAATATATATATATATATATATATATATATATATATATGTGATGAACTATATACAGGGTGTTCCAGATTTGATAGAAAAAATAGGTATATTCTACAAGTCAAAAGAAGGTAAAATTGTTCTATAAACATATGTCCGAAAACGCACCCCTTCCCTTGAGCTACACTCCTCCAAAGTTTTTCCAAAAAATTCGAATTTTCCGTATATCGTCTAAACTTGGACTTAGAATTTTATGAAAATTAGTACCTACACATTTCCTTGTACGTTTTATTCATTTTTGTTGTCAAAAATTGAGCGGATAGTGCTCTACGTGCGAACATAGTTTGCGTAAAACTTGCCCGTAGGATGAGGCGTAGGGTACAGGTATAGGCGTCTTTATTGTTAGGTCGATTATCTCAAAAACGGTTTGTCGTATGAAAAAAATCAAAGACTCAAAAAATGCTTATTTTTGTATTTTTTGCCATAAACTGTTAATGTATTTCAAATTTATTATACATAAGTTTTGTTATATTGAAATGTATAGCCCCCCTCCCTTAAAACCCCCTTCGAAATTTTGTTAGACAATTTTTGACAACAAAAATGAATAAAACGCACAAGGAAATGTGTATGTATCAATTTTCATAAATTTTAAGTTCAAGTTTAGACAATATATAGAAAATTCGAGTTTTTGGGGAAAATTTTGGAGGGGTGTAGTTCGGGGGGGGGGGGGGGGGCGTTTCCGGACATATGTTTTGCAACGTCTTTTCCTGCTCCGAAACGCCAAATTCGGAGAGGGGAGCATTCGATTTGAATAGTCTGATCGTTAGCGTCGAAAATCGGTAACATAAGAGCGTAACTACTCGTATTTCGGTAGTTTCGGTAACTCACGATAAAGTTGGGCGCCAGGCGCATTTACATGCGCCGCAGTAGCGATAAAAACGGGACCTTAGGTATCACTTCGAAATCCGATAGGGAGTCGCGGGTCTAGATGGTTCTTATTCTATGGCTGAGAGAGAGGTATACAGAGAGACTTACACCGATTGACATGGACAGACAGATATATTTCAGACAATTATGACTAACAACTGTACATGGAATAAATATAAATTTACAATAAAATTAGCTAGAGATACGGATAACTATAATGCACAGAGGCAAAGATTTCGGTACGACGGGATCGATCCCCCGGATCGACTAATCGAATTTTCAGTAATTATGACGATATTTAACAACTTCTAACAATCTCGCGACAGTATTATAACAATTGAATATACAGGAATGCTCGGTAAACGGTTCGGTCGTTCAAACTCAGTATCTTGTGTACGCGGTATACATAGAGGTCACATAAACACGAGTCGAGGCACGGCGCGATACAAAAAAACGGTTAACGATAAGGCGACGGCAATTTCGTGACCCTCTCGCACGACTCTCTCCCCGAGTCGAAAATCTAAATAATTATCACACTCGCGGAGAACGGCTGCACGCAAATTCCGTAAATTTAATGACCAAATCATTAACAAAAAAGATCTCATGCACGGCGACCGTGACATAGAACGGTACTCGGAATATACCGATGAACAAGAATGGAAGATTCTCGCTCTCGGAACGATTGACTGTCGGCAGCACTTCTCGGAGAGAACTCGGCTCGCGAAATTCGAAGTCGGCTGGCCCCGCGGCAACGATACTTTGTTAGAGAAAAAGATCGCTCTCTCTAGCACAAGACAACACGATAACGAGACGATACGGTACTCACGGTAATTACTCTACTTTCTCGCCACCCACGGTACCAACCAACACTCACGTACGGCTACCCAAGAGGCGGCTTACAATACTTGGCGATGAAGTCCGATGTCTTTGCGGTATATAGGCCGGGATCTGGAGGCACCCTCACACGTGTATAGCTCGCCGAACAGTGAAAAGCCGGGCCTCGCGCTCCTTGGTACCTCGAGCGCCGCGCCGATTTCCCGCGCATTCCATCGATGATAGGGTCGATGGTGGAGGTCCTAGGGTCTCCCGGACTCTCCCCCTAGCCGGTGTAACTTCTCGCCGAGAGTTTTGAACGCTGAACAAGAGGATGTTCCCTCCGATATCCCAGGCTGACATTCCTCTCGCGAGACGGGCGGCAGACTGGCCCGGCCCTCCGTTCGTCCCTCTCCAGGATATGCCACGTGGTCGATACTGTTCTGAGTCCTCTCGTTATTCTATAACATGTTAATCGCATTAATATTGCGCGAGATATGTACTAAATTTCGGCCACTCGATACTTATGTGCGCGAGGTCTCGGGCTCTCTCTCACTCTCGCTCCCTCTCTCTCCATGCTGCTGGGGCATCCTGGCACATCCTGTCTCGCTTCCTCTTGCCGTACAAAATGGCTCCCGGCCGTCCTCTCGGACCGTCGTCGTCGCTCTCCTTAATAATCTCACGGCACGCACATCGACAGGCCGATGCTGCGCGTAACTCCTAGCCTCGTAAGGAAGGTTTTACAAAATACGGATCGCACCCTCCCCGATACGAGGGGCGCTCCAGACCGTCACGTCCTACCCGGTCGGGCTTTTCGCCCTTGTGACGGCGCTCCAAAGGCGTCACGTCACACCACTTACGAATTTTTATTAAATTATTTAGAAGTTTTAAGTAATTTAATTTCGAAAAGAATATTTATAATGTTGGCGATTAATGAGCTACTATTTGATATATATCATATATAAGTCAATGATATTTGATTAACAAATATTTATGAAAATATAAAATAAGATACTGGTGTCGTTATCAATGACAGATCGAGTGCATATTAGTCGGCTTGTTAGTAGGGATGGCATTTGTCAAGGCACAGTCACAGCTAGGTTACATCGTTATAAACAATCGTCGAAGAATAATTTTATGCAAAATGATTTAGTAAATAATTAATGAATGTTGTGGTATTTGTGGATTCCGAAAAAGGTTAGTAGTTTTTAGTATATAGACAAACGTTATGAATAGGTACAAGAAAACACGTATGTCCTCATTTGTGACTGGCTTAAGAAAATAGTCATAATAGTAAACTTCGCTGTTTTAAAAAAAACATAATTAACATCTACCTCCATACGTTACTAGATGAATGTGAGTTGCATTTGTAAAATAAACAGAAATATTTTCGGTGTATGCTCGAAGGAAAACTCTAGTGACAACGCTATCACTTTAGATAAGGTCACTAACTGGGACATCGTGTGTTTTGTACCGATTTGTGACCACAGTTTCGAATTATTTTTGTTCAATTAACTTATCGAGTGATTTTTTTATCAAATAGAATAAAATATTTTATTCTAATGAGGTAACTTGATTATTTATTGCTAAATAGAAAGCAACATATGATCCGATTGTAGAGCAAAAACGAGAATAATACGAAAAATCACGAGATTAATTATGAAAAATCTGTTTTATCATTATTTTTTATGGAAATTATAATAAAATGTTTTTTTCCCTATTTCCGAATTTTGATAATATTCATGAGATTTTGAATTTGGATTTATAGATTAAAAATACAATTTAGCATAATGAGTAAAATTCGAAAAAAATGGTCAGACGCAGAACTCGAAAAAGCACTCGCTGATGTTCGTTCTGGAAAGTCAGTAAATGGTATTAGCAAATTAAGTGGTATACCTAAATCAACGCTAATAGCAAAATTGAACTCTATTGACCAATTGGAAAGAGATCGGGCCCTCCAACTGTATTATCTACTGAAGAAGAGGTAATAATAGTGCGTTGGATGCTTCATCTCAGTCACAAAAACACAATTGTTTTATAACGTTGCTCATTTAATCAAACAATTCGGTCGAGAAACACCGTTTACTAATGGACAACCAGGGCATCATTGGTATGAACCATTTTTACATCGGCATCTAGAAATTTCTACTCGCGTAGCTCAAAACTTGCCTAAAAATCGAGCGTCAGTGATAGAAGATATTTTATGCGGTTGGTTCAAAGAGGTCGAACAGCATTTAGCTAAGAAGCAGTTAATAGACATCGATGGAATTCGGATATTTAATTGCGATGAGCCTGCTTTCTATTTTTGTCCAAAAGCGGAGCGTGTGCTGGTCAGAAAAGGAGATAAGGCAGTTTATAATTTTACGCAAAATGACGAGAAGGAATGCTTGACGGTGCTATTCATGACAAATGCTACAGGTGCATTAGTTTCTCTAATGATAATTTTTCCGTATGAAAGAATTCCCTACAGCATCTCGCAAAGTG